CTCGTGGCGAGATGAGACGACGAGCTCATGACGAGATAAGACGACGAAGTCGTGACGAGATCAGACGACGAGCTCGTGACGAGATCAGACGTCGAGCTCGTGAAGAGATCAGACGACGAGCTCGTGACGAGATGAGACAACGAGCTCGTGACGAGATGAGACGACGAGCTCGTGACGAGATGAGATGACGAGCTCACGACCACACGACGAGCTTGTGGCGAGGTGATGAGCTGACGAACTCACGACCAGACGGAGAGCTTGCGATGAGGTGATGAGCTGATGAGCTCACGACCAGACGGCGAGCTTGCGACGAGATTTAGGATTTTCTCAAGTTTGATAAACTTTGAAGATTGTTTTCTTTAGCCCCCTCCTTCTAGCGCTAACTGTTTGAACCGAAAATGGTGTAATTGTCGAATTCATAACAATAAAAGATTTAAGAATTGGATTCTTAAATCCTTGAGACTTAGTAGAAATCAAACATAGAAATCAAATGAGAAATAGAACATCAAAGAGATTTTATTGATAATAGATTCATTACGTTGAGTGATTAAAAATGTAAAGTGAATCTATAAATCTCTAAGAAGTGTTCTTGATCTAAAAGAGTGAAGGAGAAAATCCTCAACAAAGAGAGGTTGCCTCCTTATTTATAGGAGAATGAGGTTTAGGGTTTCCCATCTAAATGTGTCTAATTCATTGTCTAATGAGCCTTGAAGATGGTGTAAATCCACCCCAACAATAAGTATCTAAACACTCTGAATGCTTCTTTCCCATATCTATTCATTACTACTGCAAAACACTCTGAATGCTTCTTTCCAATATCTATTCATTACTACTGCTTCCATCTAAAACCATTTCATTTTCAGATTCAGAATTTTTTTCAGAAAAAAAAAGAGAGGAGGAAAACCATATAAGGAACACACCTCATCTTTCTGTGCTACGCTGATAATTGATTTATAATCTGCAAAGGAAATAAATTAGATGAAAACGTTTTGAAATCCAAAGTATCAGTTAACCACATATATGTTTTAAAAGGAAGTTACTATTTTACCAACCATGTAAGAATCATCAGTTTTTTATCACAAACGCTTGTAGATAAAGAAGATGTTGCACACAGTTGTTCAAGGCATTCTTTAACTTTCTCTTGTAGCATGTCACGGCCTTCTTCTGTCTTTGTAATCTCTTTGTAAATGGAACCCATTGACATAGCAACTGAAAAGAAGATAAGTGTAATATGTCCAAATCACACCATAAACATACAATGGGAACTTCAGTCAATCTTGTTTATGTAAAAACCTTACCCGACTTGTCGGTTTTCACCTTCTTCTCCTGAGATCTTCCTACTTGGAACATTGCCTTCAAGACAATGGCACATCCTTCATCTCTCCTCTCTTTCAGTATCTCCAGACACGCCTTAAAGAAACTGGTGACGAAGTAGGAGTACAATGTTTGAAATGAACAAGACTGTTATGCCTCATGAAACAGCCTTAAAGAGAAACATAGCTAACTAATCTAATGTCTAAGGCGGCGGATGAGCTCCTCTAAATTAGGACGCCAGACTACTTCCTTGTTCGGATCTGATGATGAGTCTACATCACTTTGCTTACGCTGAAATACATTTTGGTTATAAAAGAAAGAAAGATACATTCAGTGCTACATGTAAAAATATCCAAAAGTGGTAATGGTAAGAATGTTGATACCTTCCCCTCAGAGTCAGAGATGTTGCTATCTTCATCTGCTATAGATGCATTTGAATCTTGTTCTAATATAAGTGGAAACCTTAGAGCTTCAACTGGAGTTGCCGCTTCAAGAACACGTTCCCCTAAAGTTTCCGATTCTTTTAAAACATGCACAGTTTCAAGAGAGTGTCATGTGGCTGCACTCAACAGGTAGATCAAAAGTATGAATTATACCTTGGAAGCTTTGGCACCTCTTTTCTTTTGGGCCGGCCCTTCTTCTTTGATGCCAAGAACAGGCTCAGGAGAAGGAACCCGCTCAACAAAACGTGCAGCAACCAGTTTCTCCAGAGAATCTCTGATCTCTTCTGAACCTTTTTGATTTCTTGAACCTGATCATGCTTAAAAATATGTAACATATGAAAGAATTTAATATAATAAGATATGTTTTATATTTTAAATGAAATACACATGGATAGTCGATGTCGACATCTCAAAATAGATTATTTTGTCAAACTAAATTTCTAACGAAGCCTAAACAAAAAAAAATATTATTACAATACTATAACCACCTACTTAAGTGACTATTATACTTCAATACCATTAAGAGGGCTGTATTAGAATCGTTAGGAAAATATTTTAAAAAATAGTTTATTTATTTAAGTTGGCAAAACATAGATTTTATAAAACATGATAACTGATCTAATATGAAAAATATGATCCATATTTTATGTATACCATTAGTAGAACATATAATTTTCACATAGATTATTATTTCAATCTCTTATACATTAAAATTATGAAAAAAAAGAATTACTTTTATATTTTTGATCAACATAATTATGATACTTGGAAGGTGAGATTTTATTAATTTAATAAAATTGTGGTTGGATGTTAATTTTTTTGCTACGCTCATTTTTTTTTACAAATATTATTTTATTTAATTTATATAATGTATATTTTATTAACTTATATTTATGTTCCCATTTTTTTCAAATATGTACCATTAAAATTAAGAAAATATGTGTGTCTGATATGTTATGGTGTTCTCCAAATGTTATTACACACGTTAGGTTTTAGCTTATTTTAGTCAGAAAGTTAATATAGACTCGTACGTCACATCACATACAATAGTTTTATTGTTCATGTATTTCTTAAAAGTATACCAAATTGTTTATGTAATTTCTATGCTTTAAGTTTTGTTGTTACATTATTTTCTAATGATTTGCATCACATAAGTGATCCTTAAATGACAATTATACACTTTAATTGATCAGCAAACAAAAATATAAAATATATAAAAATATAAAGGGAGAATTTGGCAAATAGCTAAAATCATAAACATAATTAAGTCAATGGCTATGATTTTGACGTAATTTGATAAATAACAATTAAGGATGAAGTGAGCCGGTTATACCCTTCGTGAGTGCAAGTACCCGGTGACATAGAAAAATACAGATGACGTCGTACTTCTTATGTGGACTATATCTCTTTATAATGGTTAACAACTTACGTAAGAAAAGTAAGACACGTCTCATTCATTTTTAATGCATATAATTTTACTATGTAAAATTAGGAGATAATAAATGACTTTAGTGTACAAATATATAAAAGAACAATGTAATTCATGTTATATATATGGATTGTATAGTATACATCTCGCTACTATTCTATATGGAAAGTATTAGATAGATTGCTATTCCATTTGGTACTATGGATGCACTTTGGACTACACTGTGTGGTCTTTTTATGAAATTTAAAATAATGTTCCACTGTGTAAATCCATACAACGAAAGGTAGTAGAACTACTATTTACATTATCAGTACAAATATTTGCATATTTCACAAATATATACCATTTTACTAGACTAACAAATAGGTTCGAAAGTAAACTAGGACTAAAGACTTCTCAGACTTCCACTGTTGGCTCATATACTGTTTTACAATCTTATTGGAAGGCATCCATGACAACCTGCTAATCAAAAGGCAAAACACAAATATGTTAGTTAGAATATAGAAAAGAACTCTAAAAACATAGTGGGTGACAGAGTAGAAAAGTTCATATAATAGAATAAGCAAAGTTTAAAGTATTTTATCTTTATTACAGTGTTCCATTCTATGTATTCTTGTAAGTCAAATGTTCGTAATATAGAATAGTACAATACAAAATAGATAGTTGTGTCTTAAATGTGTAAATTTATCTTACCTTTTATACATAGTATGAAACCTTTATAAGTGGTGTAGCTGGTGCATTTTGTTCCATAGCAATTAGTTGTTATATGCATAAATACTCAACTTGAAGCTAAACCCATACTTAGTAATCTAAACCCTAATCCCAGATCTATAAACTCAAATACAATCTATATATTTTGGACCCTCTATATACGCCACTTTGTTCCACTGTGTAAATCCAAGATAGAATAGAATCCTTGTTCAACATAGAATATAATCCAAGTTCAACGTAGAATAGAACACGACTTCAACATAGAATATAATACGACTGCAACATGAAATAGAACAAAACTCACTAAATCATATGTAGATAGAACATAACTAAAATAGAATATCACAATTGTTTAACAACAAACACCGTATAACACAAAGTCAGTATAACTCATAGGCAGCGTAAGAACATATTTTCTAGTAGAGTAATAGAATAGAGGTCAGTCATGGACTACAATAAAAAAAAAAACTCTGTTCTAATAGGTGTATTCGGAAGAAGGACAACCGCAATAAGAAACATGCAAAAGAGATGGACAATAATAGAAGACAGAAGAAGATTTGGAATAAGAACGCTTCACATCATGTATAAAATCAGAGCTTACCATAAATTAAGGATCTACTGAAGGTGATGAGAGTTCGAATTTGAAATCGCCGGCGTAGGAATTTGACCCAATTGTGAATAAGGTTTCGAGAATAGGATATCAGAACCGCGTGATAGAGACAAATTAAGAAGGGACGACTGTTTCTCCCCTTCCAGAAACCGAAATCGTCGACTCGATTGCAGAGAGACTTCTGAGAGGGCGAGTAACTTATGGTTCTAACTGTTCATCTTCTCGATAAAGTGAGGGAGAAGAAGTTATTAGAGGAAGAAGGTGTGGCAATAAAAAAAAAAGAGACGCGTAACGTTTAGAACCGTAGGTAATTTTTTTAATTTTTTTTACCTAACAAGTTGCACCGGTTGTTTGCAAGGAGAGAATGGGTATTATATAGAAAATATATACGGTGTACTGATGATGTAGGGCTTTTGGTTAGATGCTGAATTATAAAGTGTTTGAAGGCTATTGAGCCCAATTTCCCAAATATAAATGACTGGCTTAGCGCAAAAAAAGAAATCACAAAAGAAAATATATGCCACGTGGCATTTTCCTCCTATAGAGGGAAAAAATATATTTTATTATATAAAATTAGAGGAATCACATAAATCAAAATAATCTTTCTTGTTTATTTACAGTAAATTTTATTGGTAAAAAGAAAAAAAATAAAATATTTTATTTATTTTATTTGGTGTATAATTAAATTTAAATGATGTTGAATAAATATATAGTATAGTTAATATGAATATTTATTAATTGAGGTTTTCTACTCATATAATATTATTAGCATTTGTATATTTGCTTTACAAATAAAGTTAAACCATTAATCATAAATGTTCAATTAGAGTTTTTTAATAGTTTTAGTAATTTATAATTTTTACAAATAATTCAATGCAAATTTCAAAACTGAAATATTAAGGTGTCAATATTTTTTCAATGTAAATTTTGAAATTAGCATATTTATGCATTTTATATACTATATAGTTCAGTTTAAAGGATATTAATATATATATATATATATATAATCTGAATATTTATTAAATGATTCTTTGCATCATATAATTTTATGATCATTTGAATCTCATAACAAAAAAAAAAAGTTAGACTATTGATCACACAAATTTTCAGTCTGAACTTTTAATAGTTTTAATAATTTATATCGTTTTAAAAAATCAAAATATAATATATAAGAAAAAATATAATTTTTTAATTATATAGTTAATATAATTATTTAATTTCTTGTAATAATATAAATTTAAACAAAAATAATAGAGAATACAAAATTTGTTATCAAATCTTTACTATTCAAATGAGCTCCAAACCAAGAATTCATATGCACACAAGTTTATTATTGTGGAGTCTTCTCTGAATCTGGATTTCTCCAAAGTCTCCTATCGTATACGTCCAATTTTGTAGAGTGTAAGGTATTCATGCCAGATGCCAGGTTTTAGTGATCTACATAACTAGGGTTGGGAGTTTTATTCGGGATCCGGATTCGATTTGAGATCCGCTCTGGATCTGTTCCGAAATTAAGATATCTGGATATGTCCGGATCCAAATTCAGATAGTAAGATCTCGAATCTGTGTAAACCGAATCCGGATATCTTAACTTTTAGGTCTGGACATCCGGCTTAAGATATGTATTTTAAAAAATATATTAAATTTTTTTATTTTATTATTATTATATCCGATATATTAATATTTATACATAAAATAAGTTTAATAATATTCTATTTTATATTAATAATATTATATGTCATATATATATATTCATAATTTATGCTTAAATATTTAATTTATGTATTATTTTTGAAAATTGTGATTTTTTAATTTTTTAACTATTTTTATCGATCCGAATCTGGATATCCGCAGATATCACAATATCTAGACGGATATTCGGATCCCGGATATCCGTAAAATACGAATTCAAATCCAGATACTAAAATCACAGATCGGACGAATCTAAATCCGGATACTTCAATTTCTCGAATATTCGGATCCGTTACATAAGTGACATTGGTTACGTAAGGAGAACAAACACAAATCAAATTCTTGGGTGATGCCGTATGGCTTACATATTAAGACCATGTTTAGTCACGAGAAACGAAAGCGACTTTGTCATCTATGTAGACGCTAGAAGATGTATATGACTTGTGCTCATTGCCACTAAACCAAAGGGACAGTATAAATTATGTGGCCGAAACTTCTTATAAAATAAATGGTCGTAAGTAGCTGCTTCCCTAACTTGATGTTAGGGTCGGCTCTGTTTTCATATACAGTGAAACCTCTATAAATTAATAATATTGGGATTATACCAAAACTAATTTTTTTATTAATTTATAGAGATTATTAATTTATCGAGATATTAATTGAACCAAAAATTCAATTTAGAACTATGAAATTATATTAATTTATAGAGATATTAATTTATAGATTATTAATTTAAAAAGGTTATACTGTATAACTAATAACCAAACAACATGCACGTTGTAGCCATACTTGGAGAGAAATTTAGTTTATTAGTTTTTTTTTTGTTTTTCTTTGAACTTTAGTTTATTAGTTGATATACACATATCCTCAAATTTGATGGATTATATAACTAGTACATTGAATAGGAACGTAATAATTTTTCTAGTATGGATAATTTAATAACTATA